AGCTTATAATTCCATATGCCAGGTTATGAGTACAATGCATCTTGTTCAATGCCACTATTCTGTGACAGTGGAAATGAGAAGAAGGAAAGGGATGAGCTGGAAACATTAGCAGGTGCTAACACAAATATGGCACTGGGGACAAGGTAAAAACCAAGGAGAGCTTTCTGCTAGGAGTTACATAAAAGTTTAACTCAAGAATTACAATGTGAGCCTATCTGCTTCATAAAAGAATTCTCTAATGAAGGGGGAAAAAGGCTTTCTGGAGATCAACAGAATCAACTCCATAGTTCAGTTTCCAGAAAAGATTATTTTTTTCTGTGAGTCTGACTTGAAAATGCGGTTCATTATATAAATCAGAATCCTTAATCATCATGGTGATCATCGGCATCATCAGCATCATAGTGTATAGACAAAAGAAAACTCAGATTTACAAGCAAACCCACTGGCCGCATGGCTACATTCGAATGCTCCTTTGGGTCTAGATACCATTGCCAATGGGAGCACCAGAGAATATGTTCAGAGAAAAGCAGCACAAATTAACTCTGTCAGTTATCTGACTCATTTTCCAAAATTTATATTGAAAACAAAAATATTTTCCAGTGGTCTGAAATGATGGAAAAATGCTGTCAACTTGAGATTTTTGCTGGAACTATGGCAATCGTATCACATTTGGTACCTCTGCCCCTTGAATCGTTTTTGTCATGCTTGCATAAGGATGTAGGAAACGTTTTTATCATGGAATGTGAACTATGGACATAAGAAATGACTGAAGAGGATTAAAGATCAGAATCACAGTTTTCATCTAATAGCAAAGAAGGGGGTAAATATCATGCTTGGTGGTTACATAATCGGGCAAATATACTGGAATTAAAATAAAACCCAACTTTGACAGCAAGGAAAAGTCTCTGTGTACTAGCAGTGCATTTAGAGATATAATTTGTTCACTTCCAAATATGTGCTTTATCTGGAAAATAAAGAGGGAGATTGTCCAGGGGAGATAACCAGTGATAATTGGACCATACCTCTTTTAACCAGTGGCTGTCCCTGATTAGTAATGCATCAAGATGTGCAATAGAAAGCACTACAAGGGTAGAATTTGATGATTTGCATTGTCAGTTTCTAGAGGTTTTATTTTTGGTTAGTGTTGGAATTTCTTTACTTCATTGAATCCTTCACAAAATACAAAATATATGATATCTCTAGTAGAAAATTCTGAAGGAAGTTTTTTTTAGCAACATATAGAGAAAAACATCCTCCCTTCATAGATTGCTAGAGCCCTTTAATGTGTTAAGTTTATATACATGTATATTTTATTTTAATTCTTTTGTCAATAACAGGGTTACTGAACTCAGGGTTTCAGCTCTATCAGTTAGCATTTTTACTCAAGGTTAGTGCTCTATCACTTTTAGCCACAATGCCACTTCCATTTTTCTGGTGGTTAATTGGAGATGAGTTTTATGGGCTTTCCTGTCCGAACTGGCTTCTAACCATGATCCTCAAATCTCAACCTCCTGAGTAGTTAGCCACTGGCACTTGGCATTTTAAAAATTGTAATTGGGGTCTGGGAAGTTGGCTCAGTGGTAGAGTGCTTGCCTCGCATGTGTGAGGCCCTGGTTCGATTCCTCAGCAGCTCATAAGCAGAAAAAAGCCAGAAGTGGTGCTGTGGATCAAGTTGGTAGGGCACTATCCTTGGGCTGAGAGCTGAGGGACAGCGCCCAGGCCCAGAGTTCAGCCCCCACAACCGACAATAAATAAATAAATTTATTAATTAATTAATTTTGTATTATTATTATTATAAGGGTGAGGTCCAAAGGGGTTACAGTTACATAAGTCGCTTAAAAAGTACATTTCTTTCTGGACAACGTCACTGCTTTCCTTGCTCTTTTCTGGTTTTTCCCTTCCATCCCCACCCACAAGTTGTATTTTCAGTATAATATTATAATATCTAGTGCAGTTTATATCTTTATAATGTCAAAACTGGTAAGTTTTCTACACATGGAGCCATAAAAAGGTCAGTTAACTGGTTTGACTGTAAAAAAAATTAATGTTTTTATGCTATATAAGAGAATGAGACAGGCACTGGTGGCTCACGCATGTAATCTTAGTTACTCAGGAGGCTGAGATCTGAGGATTGAGGTTCAAAGCCAGCCCGGGCAGGAAAATCTATGAGGTTCTTATCCCCAATAAACCACCAAAACACTAGAAGTGGCACTGAGGCTCAAGTGCTAGAGTGTTAGCCTTGAGCTAAAGAGCTGAGGGACAGTGCCCAGGTCCAGAATTCAGGCCCCATGACCAAAAACAACAAAAAGAATGATATACAAATTTGTTTAAAACATACTACCAAATAGGGAAATAAATGATTTTATAGTAGAAAATTTTAATTGATTTTGGTGTTTTGAGATTTTGACAATGCCTTTGATTATTTCCCTTGGGTATTATTGTGCCATGTCTTTATAGCCTAGCTAAATAAATGGTATCAAGTATAGCTAACTTGGGAACATAAGAGTGAAATGAATGTTATTCACACTTTCAACCTCAAAAGTGTGTGTGATTTGTACAGCAGCACAAAGCTCCTTCTCAGAAGGGGGCTGTGTATGATTTAATAATGTGTTGCTCTCATGAAATTTTAAACAATTTTTAGAAAAGGGGCTTTACACTGCTGCTTTGCAATAAGCTCTAAAAACCACATATTGGCCCTGGATTTACTATTCTGTCAACTGTCTATGTATAAACTTATACAGTTTGTATGAAAAAAAGAATGCCAGAATATTTAAGAAAAAGTGAATGTTTTTTGAGTAGAGATAAGCTTAGTAGTCAAATTATAAACAAAGTAAACAAGTAAAATTGATAGAGAAAACTCCAGAAGGAAGGCTACTACTCCATAGAATGAAACCAATGCCTGTGGAAAAGGAGGCCTTTAGTTGGATCAAAAAGAAGGAAATGGTTTGAGCAATGACAATTGGGAACAAAGGCAGGGAAGCGGGGGGAGTGTGCTATAGGAAGACGTTGAAATATTCAGGTCTGTGGAATCGTTTGGATTATGTAAGTAAGGCAAGACTAAAACAGGGTAAGTTGGCTGCCTTTGGTTGTAGGAGGGTCTTGAATGTCCAGGCAATGAAGATATAAGTAATTGAGTAGCAACTGTGAGTCACTGAAGAGTTATAGAGGGAGAGCTAGTCACTGTCACAATTTAGTAAGATTAAAACAGATAATGATGATCATTTTGTCACTTCTCTAAACTCCCAGCCCAGTTCTATATTCAGTGTAAACTTGTTTTATGAAAAAGCCTGATAGAAAGTGAGATTAAAATTGGTGTCAACCTCATTTTTACTCAACCAGTTAAATTCTACTTGCTCTCTCTCTCAGTTGATCAATAAAAATGTGTTGACCCATTCTTGAAAGCCAAGTTTCATTAAATTGTCAGGATAGATTGTATAATTCTGACAATAACAGCATGACCAGAGTTGATTACAGAACACACACACACACACACACACACACACACACACACAAAGGAGACATCTCTGTCTCCTGATATAGTACCATTCAATTGATGTTTACTTGAGAAAATAAATTGGTGGTAGTTAAAATTAACACGATGATTGCACAATGCATAGATATATAAAATATTTGTTAATTAGCAATTGAGATCTTTATTAGGGTTGCATAAAAAATCAATAACTTGCAAGTTATGTTTTGAAATAGATATCCATTCTATTTCTCTGTGTTTGTTCTCTGCCCACACATACACAAATGCACAAATATATATCAGCACACACAGATATATTCTGCCACACACATATTGTGTGTTATATTGTACATAAACAATATACCTTCCTTGAAAACTGTATTAAAATTTTAAAGAGACTTATATTTCTACTTCCACATGTTTTGTCCAGTAACAATGAGGAGGAAAAACACCCTGCTGACAGAGAAATATTTTAATATAATGTTACTTGATATAAAATTAGAATTTCAAGGTCCCTTCAGTGGGATTATAACCAAAAGATTTCATGTGGAAATGAGAAATATATAAAAGATGAAGCAGAAACAAAATTAATTAACCACAAGAAATACCCAAGTAAGGAGTATTAAAATTGCATTTGAAGGAAACTCAAGAGATATCTGTTAAGATATATTACTGAAGTCAAATATGAATTTGACTTATCAGCTTCATTTTACCCACTTATTCACAAAAATGAAAATATAAGAAAAACCAAAAGTACTTTAATATTCTAGCTTTGAAAAATGAAATCTCAGTAGCTCAGTCTGTATATCACTACTTACTGTTTACCTTTTCAAAGAAAAATAATGAAAAGCATTGCTTTTAAAACTCAGCAGAATAGTCAATGTTATTTTTAACAAAAATGATATATATTTTCTTTAAAATAAACTTAGAAGCAAAGTAGTTTCAATACATATCAGCAAATATTCCTAAGAAATTAAAAGGCTGTATTTTTTGTTCTATTCCCATTCTATATGGAGTTATTATGATCATATATGATTCAAGGAAAGAAAAACTTTTACTGCAATATAAAATAAATTTAATTTGGGAAATTAAACTCAGGATTAAAGGATAATAGGCTGCTTCTTGGAGCTTTCCCTTTTTAGTTATCCCACCTTTTCAGTGGAAACTCATAGAATGAAGAGTGTAGCCATACAGTGTGGTGCATCTAGCAGAGATTATTTAAATGTATTAACCAATAAGTAGAATAGACAGTATTCTTTACTGTTCAAGAAATTCTTATTTGTTCCTGTGAGCTACTTTTCTCTGGGAAAATGTGGAATGGCTGAGTACACGTGATAAAATTCAGAAGCTCTGACTCATCCCCTTATCCTGAAAATTGGCACCAGAGTTATAAAGAAGCCTGTACACGTCTTGCCCTTCTATAAATTTGTAAAGCTATTAACACTGAGATTATAGAAAAGAGAAGTTTTCACTCTGCTGCATTTAAAAAGGACAATAAATACGCTCAAGAGGAGAAAGGAACATGTCTTACCTTTTTAAAAATTCCATATACTCGGTATGTTTGATGAGTCCTGTCCTCATCATTATTGTTTGAAAACATTGTCGGTCAATGGCCCAGAGTTTCACATTTACAAGAGCTGGAGAAAAGGGGTGGGGAAAACAATCAGAGAAAAATTAATTAGAGAATTTCAACTGTGAATAACAACCTGCAAAAGAGATGAGTTATTCATGAGAGGTATAGAACTTATTAACCTCTTACCTACATTCAAATCTAATGCCATAATGCTGCTCTATTTCATTAAAAAGTCAGGTATGCTTTCAGGAAAAAAATGTAGCTCATAATTTTCGACACTTGTGTGTCTCCTAAGGTTTCTATTGCTCTTAGTTCCCTTAGGAGTTGATAATGCCTGAGGACACATCAAAAGTATTTACAAAATTCACAGACTATGTATTAAAGAAACAGCATGGAGGGATAAAAAGAGGCTCACAATTAATACCAGTCCCTGGTAACTACTTAGAATAATATTAATGAATCGTATGACCATATTTTAATTACAAACAGTAGAGATAAAAATTTAATTTGAAGGGTAAACAAAGGAGGAGGCTGCAATGCTTGGTAAGACATGTATGCATTATTCTGCCCATGTAATTGTAACCCCTCTGTACAGTATGTTCACAAATAAAATTAAAAAATATTAATAATTTGAGGTTTAGGGAAAAATCAATATAACATAAATAATAATTACACAATAATTTCTACACAATACTTGTTTAACAAATTGTAACCTGTGCTCAAAATAGTCACATGGAAATTTTATTATTCATATAGATTGAATTTTAATTTCTAATCCTCCATATCACTGTCTTTAAGAATGAATAATTAAATGCTGCAGCGGAAACCACATCACTATCAAGGACATGACTACAAAACAACTTTAATTAAAAAATGGCAGGTATTATATATACTCAAACATCATACTAAGATAAACTTAGGCTTTTAAAAATGAGCATATGATGAATGTTGGTGGTTGAATCTGCATGGTAGGCATGCAAAATACTTACTATTTTCTCATATGTATTCAATTTTTATAGTACAAAAATTAAATTATCACATTAACTTCAAAAAGCCAATTTATATACTATACCTAAGGAGTCTTAGAAAAATTTGTGGAGGGGAAGGGAAAAACAAATCGTTTAAATAGGGATACAGGTGGACCCATTGCAACAATGAGATGTACAAGTCGTTATGTCAAAAAATGAACTTTACAACTTTGGTGGGGGGGGGGATCGGGTAGGGAGTTTGGAGGGAGTATGGGAAGGGATCGGAAGGGGAAACAAAGGAGGAGGCAACAATGCTTGATAAGAAATGTACTCATTTTCTTGCCCATGTAATTCTAACCCCTTTTTTCACAATAAAAAAGAAAGAAAAAGAAAAAGTGTAGGGTCTTGAACAAAACTGTTTGCTGGTGCTAGAATACAATTCGATGAGCTAAACACAAAAAACAGAGGAATTCAGTTCTCTCTTCCTCAGAGTTCTCAGACTAAGCCCAGGGAATGAGTGAATGAGTGGATTAAGACTGGGAATGAAAAAGGTGAGAATATGTTACCAGAGTAAATTGGGTCCCAGATATCCCCTGAAGGGACAGGACAGAGGCAACAGAAAAGGGACAGGGGAGCAAAAACATGAAGAGATGTCATACTCCTCCAGAAGTAAATCCTGCTCTAGATTTTTACCATTGTGTTCCTTTCTTCCTTCAAGACTGTTTGATCTAAGAAGCTAGAGTGCAAATTCTTACTTGGCTAGCTCTTCAGTGCTAAAAAACTATGCTCCACTAAGTAGGAAAAAGAACAAAGTAGCAAGAACGGATGCATGCATGGCTTTCTTCCAAACATCCGTTAAATATGACACTTCATCAAAACCAAAGGGAACACAGGTATTCTCTTGCCATATTCTGGCTCTTCTGAATCCAGGCTTCTTTCCAACACACCTGTTTACTTGAGTCCAGCCATAAGACTGAATGGTATAAACATGAAAGAGCAGGAAAACCAGGAAAAGAATTGGAGTTGGAAATGAGATCATAAGAAATAGTGCTGTTTGCATCCGAAAGGAAGTGACTGAAGAGTAACTGGGTAGGAAATGGGCATTAACAAAAGCAAGCCTGCGATGAACTCAGCTGTACAAAGCCCACTGAAATGACTGAGATTTCTGTGGACCCTGATACCTAGCTTGATAGTGAGTTGATGCAGGCCTTGGAACATAGACTTGCAAAGCCAGAATTAATTTGATGAACAACAATAAGCTATTAGTGATCTTTAAAAGGCAAAAAGAATGCAAAGAATCAAAATTTTAAAGGACATACATTGGGTACACCAATATGTCTTTAAATGCTTTCATACAAATCAGTGAGTATCTTCATATTTATTTTTATTTTTAACAGTGCCTAGGTATTTAATATTTCACAGCAAAAATGTACTCTCACCACAGGCCAAATTAGGAGACACTAACCAGTCATGTTATTTTCAAAAATGTTGGCAGTAAAGGTAGTGGCCACTATTATGAATACACATATATACACACATACTCACACACACATTTTTTCAACATCCCGTAAAGGAATGACTAGAAGTGGAATGTGTAAGTGAAGTCAAGCATGGACACAATTTTTAGATTTTGCCACACAGAGAAACAGCACATTTACACTCCTGGCAGTAGTAGATGAAATTCCCATTATTGGCTCTGAGTGATATGAGCATTGTGATAGGTGGGAGAGGGCTCGATGAGGGGCATAATTGGACTAGGAGACACTTAAGTCAAAGAGAAAATAGAAAATTGCTTTTGGTGCTGCCAAAAGCAATTGAAGAAAAACTGTAGGGCAGGAAAATAGTATGATGAAAGTTCAACATAAGGAATATTATTTGCTGTGTGCACAACAGACTATTGTGTTAAAACAAAGAGTGATAAGAAATAAACAAAGACAGCAATTCAAGAAAGGAAGAGCCTAAGAAATATGGCAACATGGGAATAAGAACAAAGGCTTAGCAATTGTGCAGAGTATATGCATATGTGTGTGTTTGCACATGTAGTTAGCATATCCTACCAATATTGTTATTTATCTCTCATATATCTATATCATATATTGCCAAATAAATTCATATCTTTCCTTAGATCCAAATTCTTTTCTCACTTCCTACCACCAGAAATTAACATTTCATTAAATAAACAATAGATATATTTCTTGCTTAACAAAATTTTTATATATGTGATTCATTTGCAAATATGCACACACACACACACACACACACACAAATACGAAAAGCATGTACACCAAAGGGATCTCTGATGCCACCTCAGAAACTCCAAACTGAATTTATCAGATTATTAGCCATATGTGTATTGTCCACTTCATTTTGTATTTTGTTTTTTGTCTACCAAGCCACTGAAATATCCCTAAGTGAAATTCTATGTCAGTTAATATCACTTCATGTTAATGAATATGGGTTGATGAGATTGCAGATTTATCCATGACCTTGAGCAAGATGCCAAAGACTTTTCTTTCATCCTCACCTAATATACATATTAGTCAAATCAGCATTTTACAGGCAGGCAAGCATGACTAATAATTACCTTGCCTTGTTATCAAAAATGTAAGTTACATTAGAATCGTGATTTATGTCTAACTTCTTAAACAATCTGCTGCAGTAAAAGACTGTTGCTTTCATAGGTTAAAAAGACCATTTGGGAAAGGAAAATAAAATCCCTTCATTTACCTTTGATTTCAAGTAGTGGATTAATCTCTTCAGGGAGTAAGAATTTTAGGAAATAAATTCCTGTGATTTTTCATTATGATTACTGTGGTTAAGCATTTAGGTCTGAAGGGCATAAAGTAAAGATAGTACTAAGAAGCGATTTTTCTTTTCATTCAAGTATTATATCTCAAATTCTTTACTGAAACAGCTATCATTTTCTCATATTAAGGCTACCTTCCACTCAGGAAAACATAACCTTGCATTACTATAAGATGTGTAGGAGCACACGGATACTGAGGATATCTTCCACATAGGAAACTATTGTCTGCATTTAAGGAAAATCAAAATCATAGAGGAAAGAGCCACCAAATCATGCTAGACTAAAAGACCAAAAATGTGGATTTACCTAAAGTGCTCCTCTTAAGGCATTTAGCTACTATCCAATTCAAATTCTGGAAGAATGCTGAGAAAACATATGTGAGTATAAAGTACTGGCAGGCTCAAATACTTAGTCAGCTCATATTTATCTTACACCAATATGGAAGATGCAGATACTAGATATATAGAAGAGAAAACAAACGTTCAGTTCCGGTCCTCAAGAAACTTACAATCTGATCCAGTATATGGTCTATAAACTGAGCATGCCAAATCTGACCCATAAACTGTGGGGTTTTTTGTACAGAATACTACTGAACAAAAACATTTAAAGTAAATTTTATAACAGATGAAAATTATATGAAACAAATTTTAGTGTTCACAAATAAATTTCAATGTCCATAGGAGTTATCTTGGAACACAGCCATGCCCATTCATTTACACATTGTCTCTGACTGAACTAAGTAATTTTGACAGAAACCATATGGACTGCAAAGCATATTTCCTAACTGAAAACACTTGATGACTGATTCCTGGTCAAGTATAAGCAATACATAAATCAAGGGGAAAATGGTAAGTTTCTGGGATTGTGCAAATGGAGAACTTTCTAAAGGGCAACAGCACATATTTTCCTTAGTGTAGGAGTAGAGAGGTGAGTTGAGCAGGGCTGATCAAAGAAGGCCCTGAAGAAAGGGGTCACATTAGTCATATTTTTACTTGATGTTATGGACCAGAGGTGTCTGTCTCCCCACAGGTCATAATGTGAAGCCCTATCACACCAATAGTATTCAATGGTGAGATGAATCTAAATGTGTAGAGAAAGTACACAGGATAAGATGCCAAGGTTTCTGCAAGCCTTTCACTAGAGTTGAAGGTTGAACATGAGAAGGTTCTTAATTTGCAATATCTAATATATGTCTGAGTCAAGCAGAAAAGGTCAGATAAGGTGCTGTTAGGGAAATGAACCCTAAGATATGTATTCAAATGTTTTTTTTCTTTCATGCATTTG